TAATTATTTGATACATCTTTTGATATCTTTGATTTAAAATGTAATTAAAAATGTGAAGAGACAAATTTTCATGTTAAATAATGAAAAAACAAAGAAAATTGGACAAATCTATTTATATGTAGTTTGATTATATGTATATCTTTTTCAGTGATATTCAACTCTTTCTAACATTTAAAAAAAATGATGGAAACTTATATTACATCTTTATATAAAATTTTGTTTTGTTTATTATTGATCAATACAAAGAAGGGACTATGATAATTCAATATTAATTACAAACAGTCCTCTAGTATGCATGGAGTTAGTTTTACTGTAATGTTTAGTTTATAAATGTGGAATATAGTTTTGGAATGACAAATCAATATAATAAAAAAAAATGCAAAGTTTCACACAAACCGTAGTTATATACAAATTCTTTTTTTTTAAATTATAATACATTCAACTCTACAAATATGAAGTAAAAAATAATTAAAAAAAATACAATTAAAAATTATCACTTTGGTCATTATAAACTTTTTATGGTTCACGCAACGCTGTAAACATCTTATAACTAAAAATCACAATATAATTAGTTTATACAATGGTAAACTTTGATGCGAGCGTATTTCATTAAACTGTTTATGATAAAATTGAAAAATTAACAAACTAATTTATACAGGTATTTAAATATCTATTAATTACTCCACTCTGAAGCTTAAGCTTTAAAATTAAATAATTGTGTAACTACTAAACAGGAGTAATAAAATGTTTACATTTTAATTTTTCAGTTTTAAATTCTTTAATTTAATTATTAAAATTTTAAATACTAGAATTAAGTTGCTGAGCATTGCTAAGTTGTGTATACAGATTCCATCATAAAATGGAAGCATCAAACATTTACGTACATCGTTATATACCATATGTTATACATTCATATTATAACAGAGGAAAAAGTCATATATCTTGTTAAAAGGAGTAAATGCTACCGTTTCTTTTTCATGCCTTTACGATATCCTTTGCCAAACCATCCAGGATTCTTGGGAGCTAATGGAGGATCTGCATGAATCACCAACGCTTTTGTATCTTTTATTTGTTTACTTTCGGATCCAAGTGAAGAAGAATTTTCTGTATCTCGTTGGTAATAAAGGCAAGTAAGTGAGCCTTCATTTTCCATACAAAAAGTACAAGTTGGCTTAGGTTTTGGCATATCTAAAGTCATATTTGGTACTTGCACAAATGGATAATAAAAAAGTGGTGTTAGTTGAGGACACATATACATTGGTGGAAATGGCAAGCCCATAGACAAGAATGGTAATGCAGTGAAAAATGGTGCTGAATAAGCAGATATTGATTCAGTTACTTTTCTGGATGGAACACAATCTTTCTCTTTGGCTTGGGATGAAATATCTTCATGAAAATTGTCATTAATTTGATTTAGCTCTATATGTGCAATATCAGACGGTTCTTCCAAGCAAGGTTGGCTTGTACTGTGTTGCTCATTATTTTTTAGTCGTATAGCGTGAAAAAAAATAGGATCCTTCGCGCGATTATACTGTGGTATTTCTAGTCCAAGATGAGCCATAACCTTTTTCATAACTTCGTCACATTTGCCATTTATTTTTAAAACTGCATTTTCATCTTTTGGAGTCCATTGTAAATTTACAATATATAATGATGGGCGTTTATGAATCGGTCTATCCATTTGCCACAACCATGGATATTTCTTCAACACTTTTAAACTAGAACCTAAACATAATATAACATCTGCTTGTTTTGCTGATCTTGTTGCTCCATTCCAATTTATAGGCCAAGGAAGATTGCCTCTTTCACCAAAATGAACAATGGAATCTTGTAAAACAGAGTTACACCTATGACATAATCTTCCAGTAGCATGAGAATAACGAGCTGTTTTTTCAGTAACATCAAATAATCTCCAATATTCTCTGTATGGCTTACATGTTCTACAAACTTCTACATACATATTACCATGAACTTCGGATAAAAGTGTACGAGGTATTCCACTGCGCAAATGAAGTCCGTCACAATTCTGAGAAACTATGTGTTTTAAAACTCTTGCCTTGTATAAGGCATAAAGAGCCATATGTGTTAATGTTGGTTCTGCTTGGCTAAGATCATGATTTCTGTAAACATTCAGTAAATTAATAAATATGTCTATATAATAACAATAAAAAAATTATAACAAAGAATATAGATCGGAATCCATTCATAATTAAAGAAATTAATTTTATATTACTATGTTTTAATGTTACTTGATCAATTGTATCATTACCCAATGTCTTTTCCTTGCTGCAAACGAGTCCAAACACCATTTGTCCCTCTGTAATCTGGGATAGAAGCAGCTGTACTAATGCCAGCACCAGTATAAACAGCAAGTGATGTTGCTCTGCTAATTGCTGCAGCTAATCGTATACATTTTTCTTCTAAAATTTCTGGTGCATCTTCTATTTCTTTTAGTCTAGCTTTTACTCTATGCCTCTTCTCTTGCCTAATAAATTAATAGTAACAATTTTTTTATAAAGTTATTTGACAATACAATTATTAATAAAATCCATATTGAAAATATAAATCAATATGACAAATATTAATATATAACACCAATATTCTATGTCATTATGCCAATAACAAAATAATTTTATATATTCATAAATATGTAATCAATGATTTTCAAAATGGCTATACCTTAAATTAACCTCTTTTACTACATCACTACAAGATACAAGTATTCCTGTTTCTTCCGCGGTTCTGTCTGTTTCAGATTTTTGTAATATAGCTGCTACCTAAAAAATGCAGTAACGTAATATTCACATAGTTATTTACAATGCATCGAAGATAATGCCGGGAAATATATAAAAATTTTAAATAATGATTACTATCAACTAATTATAGTGAAATAGAATATATTAAAAATTGTACACATACTTTTTTAAAAGTTGCAACTCGTTCGTCTTTAACTTTAAAAGCTTTAAGAGCTGCAGAACGCCTCCTTGACAGAAACTTTTCATTACCAGTCTCCTCCATCTTTAATCAAAACCACTAACACAGTATTGTATCAAATGTCTAACTCACGTAGAAAAGTCAGGATTGTTTACAATTAATCTCTTCACTGTAATAATACTATACCATGTATTATTATCAGTAACAATGCATATTTTTATTTAATAATAAAAAATTATATATAAAAA